CCATGCTTCGTCACCTGTTACTATGTCCCACACCAAATTTGATGCGTCTTCGTTGAATCTGGTAAGCATGGCATTGCACCATGCAAGTGACGCGATCCGTTTTTTGAGCCTCAGTCAAATTGTGTGGGATCCACCGAGAACACAACTTTTTCACACCCAAGTGTTTGTGTAGTATTGATTGTATTTGGCTCATGCCTATGCCTAAAAATGCCCGAATCTCATGGTATGTCACATGCCTGTCTGTTTTGATCATACGGCGCACAGCATCGATGTTTTCGTTGTTCACAGCAGTGGACGGGCGACCATCACGAAATTCGTCACTGAGATTCACACGACCGCGTTTGAATTCTACAAACCCACTATAAATAGTCGTCTTGCATGGTGCTTCATCGCCAAAAGCAGTTTGAAGCTGAGCGAAGCTCCGCTGAGCTGTTAAATTACAGTTAAAATCATACTACGAAAATTTTCACAAGTTAAATCTATGGTTATGTAGACAACCAATTTCTAAAATGACGCCACAATGTAAAAACAAGTGACAGTCAGATGAAACAAACTGTATTGTACAGCTAAAGAGTTCCATTTTCAAATGTACTCATTGTTTATTTGTAAGTGGCCAGTTCCGGAAACTTATAGTGCGCCCTATGTATAACGTAAGCTCGTGTTATGTTGACTTTACGATTTCGTCAGTTGCGTATCGCGTAATTTATACATTTTCAGTTACATGGTGCCTCATTTTCTTCCCACAAACTAATAGGATTTCCAACAATATCATGTAATTAACTGAATCGGTATCCGTGTAATCGTATACTCAACCAATAAACCGTATACAACAGTAAATATTTCTTTAAAATTATGACCACAAATTAGAAACATATTACACCATATTACTAGACACGATACCTAGTTTTATAATAGGTATGCTCTAAGATACCTACCTAATATTCAGAGCATCATTCATTGTATACATACTGGACCATATCATATGCACAGAACAATCATATCTTTCTATATAATGTAATTATTATTGCACTGTGTTATATACATATAACGTATAGTTCAGTAGTCTGTGTTTTCCGCTTAGACTTTTTTCTATTCTCATAAGGTTTTCCCCCAATCTAGGGTAAATGAAATTGCCATGCGAAAAAACAACTTGTTTGGCACAGACATGAAGCTTTTGCGATCGGTCAAATGCAATTCTCTTTGATATATTTTAGCTAATGCGATATTATTTTATATTTTTTGCACTGCTGGAGAATTGGGCTGCAGGCTTGTAATTTTATCGAGCTACGTCAGAATAATACTATTTTAAAATCGAAGCTAAGACAGCAACACTGAACAAATGTCAAAATTGTCAGTTATCGGGGGATATTATCAAGGCAAGATTTTTTGTTTTCGTTCTTTTATTAGAAATTCCAGTATTTTAGCGATAAGTTAAATAAAGAGTACAAATTGTTACATTTCAAGTGTGTATTATACGAGTGAGGTGTAAAATCAAAATGAGTCTTTCTGGTAAGTTATTTTGTATTGAGCGCACATAACCTAGGTGGTGGGTTTATTTTTATTTAGGTAGTTAGTACAGACGTATGAATAATAATGAACATACATACACTGCGAGTTGGCATATTTGGAAATCGTCTCGCCGAGTTAACTTATCTAAACCATTTAACTAATTAAGAACATCCTCGTATACATAAACATTATGCCGACTTAAGTACTTTTACATCTTTTGGGTAGGTACACGTTATCTGTATTCCTACAATACGTTCTGCCGATAAGAAGAATATCTCATAATATCCAATGTGTAAAGTTGTTAAGTTATTGCCTTAAATAATGGTAAAGTATGTATTTATAGGAAATTTCCATATTTATTTTAAAATTAGATCCTTCTGATGATGAGTCCAGTAGTGATGAAAGTCCAGTGCCGGCGAAGCGACCACGGTCAGACACCTTCGGCGCCTCTTCTACCACTTCTCAAGGATCAGGTGAATTACCTGATATTTTTTTGTTCATATGAGTACAATAACATGTTTGTAATCTACCACGAATCAAACAGAAGGGAATTATAATGAATGATAATACAAAATTATTAAATTATGTAATAAAGTGTATTAAGATAAAGTATAATGACTTAATGAATAATTATTTTATGCATTTGTTTTTATTATTATCTTGCACCAGTATTACAAGAGTCCGATGAAGAGCCAGAGGCAGCAGAGAACTATGCCGCTGAAATCCAAAAACCAACCTCAAAATTTACATATCCTAAAAGAAGTACTGAGAACAACATTAGACTTAGTAGGAGTAGTTTGAGTGAAAATTGTTCTTCACCTAATGATCAGTATGATGACTTCAAACAAAATTTTGATGACAATGATGCTGAGAGTTCATCTCCTGTACGGCCCAGTTTTGGAGGAGACACTAATGATAATACCTTCTACAATAAGCATTCCAGTCAGTACAAAGGTGATTCATTTTTTTTCCGTGTTTGAAAGCAATGGTATTAGGACCATATAGCCCGTTTCAATATTTTCCAATTATAACCACAGCATTTTATAATTTAAAAATTGTAACAAATCCATATTGTCATTCCTATATTGTAATTCAAAAACAAAATGTGTTTGTACATATTTTAGTTTTTTAATATTATTATTTATTGTATGTTATTGAATAGACAATGTTATGTCTTCAACATAGCTATTTGCATCCCTTATGTTTGGTCAGGCATACTGAAACTGTACTTATTTTGTTACTGTCAACTAATTAATCTACAATCTGTGTATCCTTAAATAAATGGGTAATAATATGAAGAAATTGATGAAGCTTTTAGTGGAGATTATTCTGAGAAGTCCAAACGGATGATGAGCAACATGGGCTACAAACCTGGAAAAGGTTTGGGTAAATTTGAGCATGGGCGAACTGTGCCTGTGGAGGCTTCCACTCAAAAAGGACGACGAGGTCTAGGGTTGAAGCCATCTGTTGTGGGAGAAATACCACAGGACTTCAAATGGACACCTGATGAGTCAAAATCTGAGGCAAAAGAGGAAGTGGTAAGCTATTAATATATGGGAATGTGATTAGATTTAGTTATATAATGAAATCTGTTACACTTAAAGGAGCAAGCATTTATTAAATACTCATAGTGCACTTAACAATAATTTCATTAATGCATACATAAAGTGAGCAATTTTGCTGACAATTTCTATTTTATTCTAATGTTTTCAGCTATGGATGCCTCCACCACCAGAAGACCCGCCCTTGGGTGATCAGTTAGAGGAGTGGTTACAGAGAGGTCCTAAGAAACTTACCATTGAGGATGAGACTCTTTTTGTGGAATCTCACATATTGAAAGGTGTTCTAGAATCAAAGGTAAAGTATGTACATTTTATATCATAAATAGGTGTGAGCTATCATATAGAAGGGTATAGCTGTAACATCACTATTTGAATAAGGTTGGCAATGCACTCCAACTGGTAATGTTTATAATCTAGTGGAAATTTATAATGTTTATAAAAAAATGTAAGGCTATCCTTAATTAAAATACACATATTTATTTGCAGTCCATATTTGACTCATTGGACGATAAAGACTTACGACACGCGCGATTCCGAAGTAATCCCTACGAAACAATTGGTTCAGTGATATTTCTAAACAGAGCAGCTGTTAAGATGGCCAACCTGGATGCAGTATTTGACTTTATGTTTACAAAACCGAAGAAGCCGAATGGAGACAGTGCAATTGATAAAAAAGAGATATTGTATTTTGCTGATGTTTGTGCTGGCCCTGGTGGCTTTTCTGAGTATATACTGTATAGAAAAGGATGGCGAGCAAAAGGTATGCTTGTACATTGAATTGTAAATTGTTTTGTAGTTCTTATATCGTATTCTGTGGTAAGTTTCAAAATAAAATTTTACACATTCATTTGCTAGGTTTTGGCTTCACACTGAAAGGTGGAAATGACTTCAAACTATCTGACTTTTACGCTGGGACACCTGAAACGTTCAATCCATTCTATGGAGTTAAGGAAGATGGTAATGTGTTTGATCCTGCAAATCTGACCTCTTTGAAAGATGAAGTATTAAAACACACAGATGATAAGGGTGTTCATTTTCTTATGGCTGATGGTGTAAGTATCATGTAACACAATATTTTGCATAAAATATAATATACAGACTCAGAGAGCACCAATACTGCTACTTTTAGTTAACACTACTTTGACAGTCATCTTTTCAAAGTCCAAAAAGCTTTCAAAGGTACCATTTCTACACTAAGATTTCTTGCAGGGGTTTTCAGTAGAAGGACAGGAAAATATCCAAGAGATATTATCAAAGCAGTTGTACTTATCTCAATGCCTGACTGCATTGATGCTGGTGAGGACAGGAGGGCATTTTGTGGTGAAGCTGTTTGATATCTTCACGCTTTTCAGTGTTGGTCTCATTTACATTATGTATAGATGTTTTGAGAGAGGTAAGTTCTGTGTTCTAGATTTCCATGTATGTTATTGCATATTTGTCTTTACCTAATTAATAGAAAATAAATTAATTTGGTTTTTTATAAATAAATTGAAAAAGTATGTAAATTTTTAATACCTTGTGTTTTCAGTGTCTATTCACAAACCGGTGACGTCAAGGCCTGCCAATTCCGAAAGGTATCTCGTCTGCATGTGGAAAAAGATAGGGACGGAATCTGCAGAGCAGCATTTGTTCTCTGTCAACTCCATTTTATGGAATGGACTGAAGGGCGATGACATTACGGAGCTAGTACCTTTGAGCATTATTCGGCAGGACAAAGGATTCTTTGAATATATTTACAAAAGTAATTGCATGTATGTGTTAATGCTTTACTATATTCCTTTAATATTGTTCGACACACTGTACATGTGATATATTTGAATCTCGTTTACAGGCTTGGCGAGAAACAAATTAAGCATTTATTGAAAATAGCTTCATTCAGTAAAGACAAAAATCTGAAAGAGGAAAATCAAGCGGAAATGAGAGAGCAATGTCTGAAATTATGGCAAGTTCGTATCAAAAATTTGACAGCTTTATTTTGTATTCAATATTTTGTAATCATAATTGACTGTTATGTATTATAGTTGCCAGATAAAGTGCGAATGCAACCAGAACGACAGAGACCAGATGAAACGTTAATGGCTGTGGCAACACTAATGAAAAAACCCCCTAAAAACGTTACAGATGCGCATTCTTTCAAAACTAAAGTTTTGAATGTCCAACCGGAGTACTTGAAAAGCGCGTCAGATTTAGAAGTTTTCAAGAAAGTTTACGATTGGCATTTTATGGTTTTAAGCAGTGGAAAGAACAATCCAGATTTGAAGTTCTTCATAGGTACATTTATAATAGTTCTAGTCTGAATACTAAATATACTACATAATACTTGCCTACAATTCTGAACTACGCCATCGCCAGTTCGATCGATAAACCGTATCTGGATGACCAGTCTGTATGATAAATTTCCAGGTTGTGGAGGCAAACAAGTGCATCAGTTAGATGGTACATCATGGAAAAGCGTTATAGACTTGAATATAACTATGCCTGCAAAAACATTGATTTATGGAGAGGTAATTAATTGTGTTATCTCCTAAATATAGTACACTTTACATAATAATAATAATAACAACGCACACACTCAACATAGCCCCGCTAGGGAAACCCTGTATCGTGGGTGCCATGGACACACACATAGACAATCAGAAATTACACCCTAACTCACGACAGAAATAAATGTAGGCCATACAAATATTTCTCCAGCCCCAGGTGTCGAACCTGGGACCTCTGCGTGGCAGTCCGGCATGGTAACCGTTCGGCCACGGAGGCAGTTGCCGTATGCCAGCCACATAGACATCCGAATATGTATTAAAGACGAAATTTTTCTTTCAGCTCGTAAAAGAGTACCGTGGCCAAGGCAATAATCAAGTATTCAACAAAGCCTTGCACGTTGTCGACGGCCTGGTGCTGGGTGGTATAGATATATCACATCTTCCTTTGACAGAAAGGTCAGTATAGAGTTAGCATACGGCGACAATACTATTTAGATCCGTTTTTAGCAGTATTATCAGTGTTGCGTCTTGCGTCTTATGCGAAATAAGGTATTTTTTGCATGGCTTTGTTAAAGCGATACGAAATCTAATCTATCGTTTATTTGTATTAGCTGTTTAATTATTTAGTGTAGTCAACACTTTTATTGTATTTATTACCACAGAGTGGAGCGCAAAAGATAGCAGAAAAAAGTATTTTAGCCTTTTAGTAAACAGTGTAGTCTTTTCAGAATGAATCAGTGTGCGCTGTTCTGTACGGCACTAGAAAAACCATTCGAAACTCTCGCAATGCCTATTAGATGCAAGCGTTTATTTAATATGGAATCCTTCTCTTCGGCTATGAACCATCTTGAAGTCCGTGCAATGAAACGAATCCGGAGAGCTGTTACAATCGACACACCTAACAGGCACAGAGATGGAATGTTTTATGTGGTTGGATCCTTGCTTTTCATTAAGGAAATTAAAGGTAAGTTGCATTATAACAGTAATTGAAATATTTGTATATTTTATGTTGAATACAGATATTATATTCGTACCTAATTATGTATGGCGTAAATGATTAAAGCATAACAAGGAAAACGACGTGACCACACGGAAGATGTGTCCAGTTACTTGAGAAATGATTTTTGGACTTCAAAGGTAATTAGTAAGTTATCAATACACCACTTTGTTCACAGATCCATGGTCAGCGCAAATGTCAAAGACAAGCGGTTGTAAGTACTATTTCTGCGTAGAGAACAAAAAACCTCGCAGCGAATATTACATTCCTGAGGAGGCTCGATTAGATATGGTGAGCGGGTTTTTAGGCCGCGTCATGTGGATTTGGGACGACGCCGCCGGCGCCATTTTAGAAGGTCAGCCGTGTCAAGGACTGTCGCGGGCGGACATGGAAAAATATATTCGTTATAATACAGCTAAGATATAATAGATGAATTATGTAAATAAAAACACTCAATAAAATATAAGCATATTTTTTGTGAACAATTATTTGATTTTAATCTCGTTTGTCTTATTAAAGTATTTACCTATTTACCTTATCTCATAGTTTTCAAAAGTTTTAAAGTTATAAAATGG